CAACAGTCCCTGGACCAGTGGGTCCTGGGGAAGGTCAGGCTGGGGCGGGTCCAGTTGTCCAAGGTCCACGACTGGAGGGACATCGGCCTGCTCAGGTGGTAAAGCCATTGTCTCTGACTGTATCGGGGGAGGACAGCTAACCGTTGCCTCAGGCACCCTAGGCTCCGAATGAGCTGAGCAAGAGGCACCTGAGGGACCACCTTGGGCTTGGTGGACCCTGGTCGGGACCATGTGTCTCGTCCTGTCCCTGGCTTGCACCATCAGCATCCTGGTCTTGGACATTATAGGCGCTCCCTTCTTGGGACGACTCCGAGTTCTGATGGGAAGGCCATGGCGGTGCCGAGCGCACTTGCTGAGGTGGCGCGGCACCGTCCACTGGTGCACGTCTGGGGGTCAGGGACCGGTGCCCCGAGTGGTACCGTGACCTGGAGCAGCACCGATGGTCATAGCAGTGCCGAGAGGTCGATCTGGATCTCGATGAAGATTGACGGTGCAGGCGGTGCCGCGACCAGCTGCGCAATGAGCAGTGCCAGGATCGGTGCCGGGAGCTGGATCGCTACCGATTGTACTGAGAGGGCGAGCTTCGGGACGTGGAGCAGTGCCGAGTGCAAGCCGACCGGTGCCGAGATGGAGATCGGTGCCGGGACTGCGAGCGGCGCCGAGAGCGGGACTATCTGCGTGACCGGGAGCACGACCGGGAACGGGACCTTGAGCTGTGCCGAACTGATTCACTCTGCTGAGGAGGCCACATGAATGAGGGCTTCCCAATCGATTGGACAGCCCATACCAGCGGTGCCAGAGGCTGAGAAGGTCCGGGCTCAGTCAATGCGATCAGGTCGTAAGCGGTGGAGAAAGTCTCCAGGGTCGATGGCAGGCCCAGCTCAACCACAGTGTGCACTGGGGAGCTGATCTGCACCGGACTCAATGGCGCTTGGGGCTCGAGAATCGACGGTGCTGGAGTCGGGGCGTTTGTGGTCAGGTCCGGCGTGGCGAGTTGTTCTGCCGGGACTGCAGGAGGTGCATGCCCTTGTGGGGGGGCAGCAGGCTTTTGTTGCGTCGGGGCCAGAGCTGTCTGGTGCTGAGGGGCCTTACTAGGACCAGGACGCTTCAGTGCCGGAGGCACGCTGCGGACCAATGGTGCCTGATCTGCATGCGGTGCCAGGGGCACTGGGCTAAGTATCGCTCCCATCAGGAGCTGTTTTAATCTGAAGTCCTGCTCCTTTTTCGTCCTAGGCTTGAAAGCCTTACAGATACGGCACTTGTCAGGCTGATGAGCTTCCCCCAGGCACTTCAGACAGGAGTCGTGGGGGTCTCCAATAGGCATAGGCTTGAGGAAAGCCGTGCAAGGCTTGAAGCCTGGAGCCTTGGGCATGAGCCCCGGTACCGGGTGAGAGGAACGGGGATAAGCCCTGAATCCTCAACTTATCTACAACTATATACACTAAATTTACTAACTTATAAACTTGCTAACTACTAAACTAATTACAACTACACTAAGGAATTAGCAATAGAACGAGGAACGCTAGGGATGAGGAGGTCCGCTACACAGCTCTCCACAGTTCCAACGACCATCACGGGCGGTAAGAAGGAACTGAGGGGGTGCTGGGTCGGCAGGGGCATATATCGGGCGCCATAACGGCGTCACTCCAGGGGGCGCCTCAGCCGACCCACCGAGAGTTGCTAGGGTAAAAATCTTCCGACATTTGTGCACACCTAATTGGAATTGATACAAGCAAGCACTTGAAGAAGATCTTTTATTAGACCAACTTCTGCTGGTAGAAGGGACACGCTTTTGAACTTCACAGAGTTAGAATCATAGAATATCAGGGTTAGAAGGAACCTCAGGAGATCATCTAGTCCAACTCCCTGCTCAAAGCAGGACCAATCTCCAGACAGATTTTTGCCCCAGATCCCTAAATGGCCCCCTCAAGGATTGAACTCACTACCCTGGGTTTAACAGGCCAATGCTCAAACCACTGAGCTATCCCTTCCCCTTCAAGTCTCTATTGAGACAAAATAAAAGACCAATTGCTATCCAAATGTTTACAAACTTTTTCATATAGTAGACTACATCTTGAGATCAAAATAACCTAGTGGGCACACCTCCAATCCAGATCTCACATCTTCTTGGAGACTACTATTTTGCTTAGTTACCTCAAAAAATAATATCAATATAGATACAAGATTTAAATAAACTAATTTGAAGAACAGCTAGCCAAAAACTCAAAAGATAATAACAAAATGTTTTTAAGTACATCAGAAGCAGGAAGCCTGCTAAACAACCAGTGGGGCCCCTGGACGATCTAGATACAAAAGGAGTACTTAAAGACGATAAAGTCATTGCAGAAAAACTAAATGAAGTCTTTGCGTCAGTCTTCACGGCTGAGGGTGTTAGGGAGATTTCCAAACCTGAGCCGTCCTTTCTGGGTGACAAATCTGAGGAATTGTCACAGATTGAAGTGTCACTAGAGGAGGTTTTGGAATTAATTGATAAACTTAACAGTAACAAGTCACCGGGACCAGATGGCATTCACCCAAGAGTTCTGAAAGAACTCAAATGTGAAATTCCAGAACTATTAACTATGGTTTGTAACCTGTCCTTTAAATCGGCTTCTGTACCCAATGACTGGAAGATAGCTAATGTAACACCAATATTTAAAAAGGGCTCTAGAGGTGATCCCGGCAATTACAGACTGCTAAGTCTAACGTCAGTACCGGGCAAATTAGTTGAAACAATAGTAAAGAATAAAATTGTCAGACACATAGAAGAACATAAATTGTTGGGCAAAAGTCAACATTCTTTCTGTAAAGGGAAATCATGTCTTACTAATCTATTAGAGTTCTTTGCAGGGGGTCAACAAATATGTGGACAAGGAGGATCCAGTGGACACAGTGTACTTAGATTTCCAGAAAGCCTCTGACAAGGTCCCTCACCAAAGGTTCTTACATAAATTAAGTTGTCATGGGATAAGAGGGAAGATCCTTTCATGGACTGAGAACTGGTTAAAAGACAGGGAACTCTCTGGGGGTCAGGGGTACGGGTGTCTGGGCTGGGGGGCACTCCATGACTGGGTTCTGCAGGAGAGGGGGCAGAGAAACAGGAACTGGGTTGTTGTAGAGGTTTCTTTAACTATTCCTGGGGGATTTTTTTTTGTGTGTGTCTGTATTGTTACAGACATACTTGCTGACTGGTATTTTGAAATAAATTATCAAAATAATTGAAACTGGAATGATTATATAGTGTTATTTTGACAAATCAAATTTGCAGAATTTTAAAATATTGTGCACAGAATTTTTAATTTTTGGTGCAAAATTCCCCCAGAAGTATCTATAAGTAACCAAATCATCACTGCTGGATAACTTACAAATGCTTTTACCTTTGTAATAGAGGGCTCTAGCATCAGTGATGTAGTGGCACAGCCAGAAAACCAGTGTGTAGACAAATCACAAACATGCACGTAGGTATGGTAAAAGAAAGAGCCGTTTTTCAAAAACTGTAACCTAAAAACACAGGAATTTCCATTGTGGATCCATCTAGTCCTATAGTCTGTCTCAAACAGTGACCAATACCAGCTATGTTAAAGGAAGATGCAAGATACCCTGTAGTAGGCTGTCATGGAATAAGCCCACCGTGAAGTTTCCTCCAAACCTCCATTAGCAGAGGTTGGCTTATGCCCTCCAGCAGGAGGGTTTGGTTTCTTCCAAAACCCTTAAAGTTTTTGTTTGTTTGTTTTCATCTCTACTATTGTAGCTCTATATGTTGTCAAAATCCCAAGAAATGGCAAATCCTCTTTTTATTCATACTAAGCTCTTAGTCTTAATGGTATCTTGTGGCAATGAATTGTGCTAACTGTGGTTTAAGAGATTAAGGAGTCTCATCCTATCAAAAATATTTTCCCAAAATGCCATTGTGCAGCATTTTACCCTTTTTCCATTTGAGACTCCAAACTCCAAAGCACCTTCAGAAAGACAAAAATATTGAAGGTTAGAAAATATACCTTCCTACAGTCTTAAAATCCAAGATTGCAAGGTTGCACACAGACCCATCATAGCATGGATCAGTTTTGATCCTGTGACAGTTAGAACATGGCATTTTGAAGATGTACTACTCTCTGGAAAAAGCAGCAGCGTTCAGAAATTGAGCAACTTGAGTTCCAAGTTGATTCTCTTCATGGAGACTACACTATAACTATTCAAGTAGCACCACCTGGACAATGTTTATTTCAAGACCACTAATTGAACATAATGCTGAATGCTCTCTTGGTAGGGAAAAAAATCTTTGTATGTGACATGAAAGAACTAAATTCAGCCTAGCAGTTCTCTGGCTCAGTAATTAAGGTAATGCTTGCTAGCTCTAAAACCAATAAACAAAATCACTCTAGCAATGAAAACTAGGCATGCACAATTTTATTACACCTCACTAAACAGATATATTCTTGGAATCCCTAAACACCATATAACACCAGAAAGCATCTGTACAGCATGATTTCTACATTTGAATGGTAAACACAGGCTGCCAGTATTTTCATTTCCACTTTACCTGACCACTTGGGCTTCTCATTACTCATTGTTAACCCATTCTACTCCAGGTCCTATTACATCTGGCAGCCATTCTTTTAAGGCTCTATTATTTCAACAGGGCAGTAAGAAATATTCTGTTAGCATACGCAGAAGGAAAGAAAAGAGGCTTTTTGATTAATGTGCATTATAAATCTGAAGAGAGTGAAGAGGTTAAGCAAGCACCACTTATGTAGAATTATGATAATATTACTGATCTGCATTAAAACAGCCAGACCTCAAACAGTCTGACAATTTAATCACCAAAATATATCTAAAAAGCATGTTTTACATTGCAACACAGAAACCCAGAATTCAGTTTAACGTGATGCATAAGACCCAATTCTGAAATCAACAGGAGCTTCCTTTGAATAAAGGACTGAGTTAAGAGTTCAAGAGCTGTGGCAGACCTTCCCAACCAGCCCCAAAATATTACTGCATACTTCAGGTAGACAAACATTCGGAGATCCTCCAAGCTCCTGATGGTTCCCACTGAAATCAATGATCCTTTCCATAGACTTCAATGGGTGCTGAAACAACGTCCTAGTCACTAATCTGAAATCAAAATATAACATAAAAATCAATTAAGAAACTATAGCTCAAATGCATCCCAAGTGTCATCCCAGCAAAGTCAGTGGATTTGAATGAGAATTGGATTGCCTAAGTGTAAAGGTGCTACTAAACATGGCACAGTGATTTAATATGCTAGCTTTTCACCTCTGGAAGTCTGTCTTCAAACCTCATTTAAGTTCTAATATATACTTGAAATGAGTTGGATAGTCACACACCTCAAATGACCCAGACAATCTGCACAGCTGTTAAATTCTGTTCTGCAAAAGTAAAACACTGGGAACATCAGGGCACTTGCTGGTCTGGAATTGATAGGACTGCGCAGATACCTCTGTATAATTGCAACATGCCTAGCTCTAGCCATACCCACCTGGGGAAAGTGACAATGACTCAGAGGGTCCACCAGTCATGAAAGTTAATTCAAATAAAGCATACTTTTAAAAGTGCCTTATTTCCTTGATGTGATTCCCACTCATTCTAATAATCAGTGATTCCACTTTGGTGCCACTGGGCCTTTGCAGCAGCTGCTGGACACAGTAATAGTTCATAGTGAGGAACAAAACACATGCAAAGCAGAGACCAGAGTGGCTGTATTGCTACAGGACAGGACTACTGTTGAAGTAGCCCATCAAGAAAAAGCAGATGGCAAAATATTTTTTAACTTTTATTCAGCACAGCAACAGATGAGAAGGAGTGAGGAAGGAGGCCTGACAGGGACACATAGGAAAGCAGAAAAGGATGGGAGTGAAGCAGAAGAAAAAGAAGAGGAAGAGTGGAGGAAAAACATTTGTATAAGGTTAAAGGGGTTTCAAATATTAATGTCCTCAGGACCTAGGAATTCTCAGGGACACCTTTGGCTCTAGCAGATGTCACTGGCCTTTTACTCATGAGATATACTAGGTTTACTATTTGCTAAACTCCATTCTCCAGATACACAAGCACCTGGTTTTTTAGTTCCCCTCCTGCTAACCTTTCCTGTTGAACTGGTGGAGCCCTTAGATGGTTTGTAAATATTGCTTAGGTGGCATTTTCCCATCACATACAGGGTAGTCCGTGGATCTCTTGAAGGATGCAGTATGCATGGGACCAAACAGGGCTTAGATAATAAAATTTCTAGGATATAGGATTTGTCACACCAGTCAGACAACCAGGCTAACAAGTATTGGTCTCATGTCTGTGTTTTCAGAGAAATTTCAACAAATCCATCTGACACCTGGGTGCCAAGCCAACTCCCAAGAATTTCCATTGAGTTCAATGGGAGTGGATCAGACCCCCAGCCAATTGTACAGTGCTGTACATGGAGGAAGAGCAGATTTCTTTCCTGATGCCTGAGACAATCAGCATCATGATGCCCTGAATCACAAAGTGTAACTACCCCTATTTTAACATGCATAACAACACGTATAATGGCTGGTCACTCGCCCCCTTTTAAATCCAGCTAGGGTATTACACTCTGTGAACTCCTGTGGTGAGGCTGATTACACACTGCATGAAGTAGCATTTGCTTTAATGGAAGGTTCATTTTATGTGGTTTATGCTCTCCTGCCATTCACTTCACTGAGTGACCTGGCATCTCACAGTGAGGGGCAGTTCACAACAGGAGGAGTGTTTGTTTTCACTCTGGGGAAGGTTTACAAAGACATAAAGGGCAGTTAAAGGCCTACCACCAATTAGAAGTCCATGAAGATTGGACACCTAACTCCAATTTGTGCCTCTTGAAAATCTTTTCCTATACTCTTTGTAATTTTATCTACCTCAATATTGGTAAGTCCCCTCAACTCTTTTCCTTTCAAAGTCAATTAATCCTAGCTTTTTGCAGTCTCTCCTCTTATGTAAGTTCTACTTCCCCTCCCCTCCCCCACCATCTTTGTTGTCCTGCCCTGAAGCTTCCCATCTCTGCTGTAACCTCCTCAAGGTATGGGAACCAAAATTAAGCACAATATTCCATGCGAGTACATGCCATTGCTTCATATCCATTTATTTATATTATGTGTTTTACCATGTTCCTTAAACATATAAGGAAGAGACAGAAAGACAGAAGCAGAGAGAGAGGAGTGTATAACATTAATAAACCTTAATATAAATCTCAAGATTAAATTTTTACATGATCTTAAAAGGTATGGTTAAGACATACTGTAACACTGCAGAGCCCACTGTTCTCTTATTCCCAGACAGGAATCATTACAGCACTTACAGAACAATTCCCTAGGTCTGATGCTCAAATTAAAGGGTTACTGTTTATTTAAATCAGAGAAAACCTGAATTGGTGCAATTTCGGCCACCAGTCATGAGCACAACTACCATACATATAAAGTGGAGATGCGAAACTGATGGCAAACAGGCTTGATGTAGGTCAATCCAGACTGTGCTGGCCCTGTGTGGGTGTGCAAAGGTGCACAGAGACAGGTGCAATAAGCTTTCTCCCACCCTTTATGTCCCACAGGAACCAGTCAAAATTCAATCCCTTATATTCCCTGAACACGAGGACATTGTAGTGCTGCCACTGCTATACTCCTGAAGGATTCCTGATTCCTGGCTATGAACAAAAAAAAATGCACAGACAATCCAGGAAATTTTTGGAAAGTGTAGGGG